CCTAAATCCTAATCCCAAAACCAAAAAAAGACAATGCACCCGAAATCCTAAGAATTCAAACCCCGAGGTGCTAAAGGTTTGGACCCACAGGGGTTAAAGCATCCTTTGAGGAAAGGGTTTAGGGATTAGGGTTTAGGGCTTAGAGTTATATAGGGATATTAACCCCCCAAATAACAAGAATCAAATGGACAAGAAAACGGAAAATGACATGGAAACAGGGATTCAGGGTTTAGGGTTGCTGTTAACGAACTTCAATTAAGTTGCTATACTAGGGGTATATAGTGAATGACAGTGTTTCCTGATTCTAGCAATTTGATGTAAGTTCCTGATCAGCAACCCAGTAAAGTATCATATGATGTCACATGGAAGCTTCCCAGAAAGTCCTCAGACCCTTCATAAGTGTTCTTTTGCGATAACAAGTATTTATTAGGCATCTAACCCATGATACTAATATTGAATACCCCCCTGTAACATTAAACATTCCTCCAGAAGAGTCTTTATGTATAGGGGGTTGGGGTACTTCATATTAGTCTGAAGGGATCACACAGACAATCCTGTCGAGCAAACCATATATTTCTTCTTTAGCGCCGTATCCTTGCTTGAGAACCGCAAGCCCCAAACCTACATCCTAAACCATAAACCCTGAACCCTGAACCCTAAACCCTACACCCTAAACCCTGAAACCTACACCCTGAACCCCAAACCCCAAACCCTAAACTAAAAAACACCTTAAAACCTGAAGCTCTGACTGAACCCAGGAAAGCAGAGGAAGTGGGCGCAGCCTTCCGCCAGGAGGAGCAGGAAGCCAAACCAAAGCTTGTGCAGTTTGTCCCCTGGCTTGGCTGAGGATGCAGATGTTTAGGGGGTTCAGGGTTGAGTAAGGGGTTAGGGGTTTAGGGTTTGAGGTTCAGGGTTTTGGGTTTAGGGTTCAGGGGTTTAGACTAGAGATTACGGTCTAAGGTCTTGAATCAGGGTTTAGGGTCCGGACCTCTGTCACGGGCCCCTGTGCCAGCAAAATGAGCCCTAAAGCCTAAAGGCTTACCCCGCCCCCCACGAAGGTAGAATCCCTGTTATAGCAACCCCCAGGGTGGACCCATAGGCCCTAAACCCTGAATCCTCGACCCTAAACCCTAAACACCTAAACCCTAATAGTTAATTCCCATGTTAGTTTCCATTCTCCCAATTTAACAGCCTACGACAGTGAACCTTGTCACCCACCCTAGACCCTAGATGCCAGACCCCAAAAATCCCAACTCCTACACTCTAAGCTGGCCTCTGGTCAGCCGGAAATGAAGGAATGGAAAAGAAAGTGGAAACTAGTATAATGGGCTATATAGGTACTACCATAAGGATCCATTTCTTCATTCCTAGCTAAGTAAATCCTAGACCCTAAACCCTAAACCCTAAACCCTAAACCCTAGAACCCTAAACCCTAAACCCCTAAACCCTAAACCCTAAATGAGCCGAGGTTCATGATTACTTCCGTGACTATGTGGATGGCGGCCTGTGTCTGGGTTCGCATTAGAACATGGCTTTCGGGCCCAGAGGCCCCCAAACTCTGGGCCTTTTTTTTTTGGACCTATACGGGTTATTAAGGGAGATACTAGGAGTTTAGACAATGGCTCATTTGGGATTAAGTTTTGGAGTTGTTCCGTTGCGTGGCTTTGTGTTGTTTCTGTACCTTCTTTCTTGCCGTCATCCTTTCGAGTATCCATACTGTCCCAACAAACTTGTGGACTTGGCATGCACATTTTCGGTTCAAGAGGCTTATAGTCAGTTCTAGCCAAGTTCTAGCAGTGAATATTCAAGCTGAAAATTTCAGACCTCAGGGTTTAGAGTAAAGGCGTTCTAGGAGTGCAGGTGCAAGACAATAACTTCCGCTCCGACTCTTATCAATCTTTGTAGAATGCTTTGCAAGTCTTCTGCGCGCTCTCTTCAGGCTCTCTTTCAAGTGCACCCCATGTAAGCTTTCAGTCAGGGGTGCCCCAGTATGCCTATAACCTGCTCATAACCCCTCAGGTCTCTGAAAGTACCCGTGTTTTGAGACACACCCCTCAGAGGTACAAGGACATGGTGCGAGAGCTGCGCGAAAAGAGGGAGCGCAAATGCTGCTTCAGTTGCTGCTCTAAAAAGGCTTAGACTCCATGGTAGAATCTACTGCGGCTCCGAGCTTGTCATAAATACCATGTATATTTATGGGGCTATAATGTGGTGCAGGATTTCGTCGTTTCACAGTAGGGTTCTGGGTTTTGGGATTCAGTATTCAGCCTTCAGGCTTCCGGGTTTCTTTGTACACGCACACGCACGCACGCGCACACACACACACACACTCACACTCACACTCACAC